CTGGTAAATAGCAGCCGACTCACCGATGCCCACCCCCCTGCTTGCTCATTCCCTGGACCACCCAACCCTCCCAGACAACAGCCTGGCTCAGCTGGGACCTTCCAGGGCAGTCCTCCAGCACTGCGCCAGTGTCCTGGCAGTGCCAGATGTGAGCTAGTTGCACTGGAGGCGTCTCTTCCTTTTAAGAACAGTACCTAGGTCACAAAATGGGAACTTGTTCTTTTGTCTCATTGGCCAAAATGAAGTCCTGTGGCTGCAAGGGAGGTTGGGAAATGTAGTCCATGTGCTGAGCCAGAAATAAGGGTTTGATGATCAACTATCAAGATCAGGGAGCCCTAACTGGTTTGGCTCAGTGTATAGAGCGTCGGCCTGCAGACTGAAGGGTCCCAGGTTTGATTCCAGTCAAGGGCATGTACCTTGGTTGCAGGCACATTCCCAGTAGGGGGTGTGCAGGAGGCAGCTGATGGATGTTTCTCTCTCATCGATGTTTCTAACTCTCTATCCCTCTCCCTTCCTCTCTGTAAAATATCAATAAAATATATTTTTAAAAATCAAGGGAAAAGAGGTGAAGGGTATTAAGAGACAATAGCAGACTAAGCCACATGGGAGGGTTAAATAGGTGCTGAGCAGAGCAGAGGGCTTGGGGAGGCTGGCTGGGATGGGTGATTCTCCAGCAGCCCAGGGCAGGTGGGGCTAGAACAGAAGGAATCAGAGGCTAGGAATTGGCAGGTTGGGTGACTGAAGTTGAGTGGTTGCCGGAGGAGTCCAGACAAGGCAGAAAGGCAGATGCAGGCAGGAGAGCCTGGAGGCCAGAGGTCTTGATGAGGGAGATGCTGCGGAGGGAAGAGCCTGAGCTTGTTTTTGAGACATAGTGGGGCTGGGGGTCGCCCTTCCAGGGCAGCATGAAGTTCTGGGGTGGAGGAGCCAGCGTGTGAGGAGCCAGAGTGGAGCTTTGGGGCCAAGCGGGTAGTCTGGGCTTTTGTATTGGGCCTCAGTAGTATCAGCGGTCTTGGCCAACAACTGTTTGGTTGTAGAAACAGATGGAAGCCCTCTGCAGTCCACAGAGGAACTACTATTATTATTATTTTGATTTTGGGAGGATGTTTATTAAAGCTGGGGGCAGTGAAACAAGGAAAGGCCTGGGATAGAAAAAGCAGCAGGAGAGAGCCCAGGCTGGGCTGCTGTCAGCTCCCTGTAAAGTCAGAGAAAAGAGGGCCTTGGAGACAGGTTCAGGGGCGAGCCCGGACAAGCAGCCACTGCCCATTGCTCCCCTGATTGCAGTCTCATGGGGACCCAGGCCACCTCAGGAGTAAGGAGATTTGAATGGGCATGCACCCAGGAGGGTGCGCCTGCAGGTGGGGGTTTCAAGAGCCACCAGGCACCAGAAGTGGGGCCTCAGGAGGAACTGGGGCCCGAACTGGAGAGCCCTCAGGAACTCTGCCAGCATCCCCAGGATGGCTCACATTTCTGGGGAAAAGTCATCTTTTCGGTTCCCTGAAAACTTGAGCTCACAGGAGGAGATAAAGGGGATTTTCGTTTCTTTCGTACGTTTTCCTACAATTTTTTCTTTAAAAAGTACAAAGTAACGTGTGGACATTGTGATGAGTGAAATAACACAAAGACGAGTTGACTCAATGTCAGCAGAATCGCCCACTGCCAGTTCTCTGTTCCTCCCTCACTGATACCCAGCAGCCTCCCTCCGAGAGACAAGCAGGAGGGCCTGGCTCCCTGGGCACCTGCCTGGCCTGGAGGATCCTGCAGCTCCCTCCCCAGCTCCACCGACCCCTCTGGGAAGTCAGTGGCAGGCAAGGCTTGACCTAGACCAGTGATGGCGAACCTTTTGAGCTCGGCGTGTCAGCATTTTGAAAAACCCTAACTTAACTCTGGTGCCGTGTCACATATAGAACTTTTTTGATATTTGCAACCATAGTAAAACAAAGACTTATATTTTTGATATTTATTTTATATATTTAAATGCCATTTAACAAAGAAAAATCAACCAAAAAAATGAGTTCGCGTGTCACCTCTGACACGCGTGTCATAGGTTCGCCATCACTGACCTAGACGATGCGCCTTGGGCCTTGCTCTGTCTATGTTTCTTGGAAGCCACTTTCCTCACAGGCCTGCTGCACACCAGCACTTAATGCTCCCACCTCTCGCTGCAAAGCTGCTTGGAGTAGCATTGTTTAGTCCGGGCGGGTTTTCTTAGCCCATCAGTGTTCAGCATTAGGGATCTTCCCAGTTTCCGTTGCTATAAAGGGCCCTTCTGGGAACACTTTGGATAAAAGACTTCTGAGCTCCGGGTCATTTCCTTTGCGGGTGTAGAACTAGGAGTGGTATGCTAGGATCAAAGGGTCCGAATAGCTTCATGGCTCGTTTCCTATGCACAGGTGGTTAGGAAGGTGTTTTCAGAGGATTTAAACACCCACTGACTTGGTAAAAGTTATAATAGTCCTCTTACTGTTGTCTTTCACTTATATATTCTTTTTTTTCTTGTTGTTAATCCTTACCTGAGGATATTTTTTCCATAGATTTTTAGAGAGAGAGGAAGGGGGGGGCGGCGCTGGGGGTCGAATCTGCAACCCAGGTACATGCCCTTGACTGGGCGGGCTGACGCTCTAACCACTGACTGAGCAACACCGACCAGGGCTCACTTTTATATTCTTTACTAAAATTATGTCCTTATAGGGAAGGAGGTGGATGAAGGAACATAGTACTGTTGTGTTCCAGGTGTGCAAATGAAAGGCAGCAAAAGTTCATCTCAGAAACACTGACACACCCTCCAGTTAGGAGGGGTGGGTATTAAAAAAGAGTCGTGGTTGGTTCAGGCTCTGTCACTCCACCAAAGTGCGAGCTCAGTAACTCCACCGAAGTGCGAGCAGGGGATCTGAAGGTCTCTAAGCCTCCTTTCAGCTCGGAGTCTTATAATCTCGCATAGAAGACGGGATGCTTTTCCTGCTCCTTCAGCAAGGAGCTGAGGGAAGGAGCGGTATCCTAGAGCCTCATCTCCCTTGCGTTTATCTTACCGTTGGGGTGGTCTGCCCCATGATTCAGGGAGCCTGCAGATGGGGCAGCCATGAGGTCACCATCTGGCCACTGAGGCCAACCAGTGAGGTATCCAGTCGAGACTAAATCTTGTCCCAACTTACTCAGTCCTTTCACATCGCCCACTGTGATGCTTACTTCCCCATCCGACTCTCCAGTGGGAAGTAAGAGCTGCCATGTGGGGGTGGTGAGGGGCGGGGGGGGAACCACAGGCTCTGAGGCCTCTGTCTGTGCGCTGTTACTAGGAGAGGTGATGGTGGGAGGGGGTGGAACCCTTGGGTTTGCCCTGACCAGGTCAGTTGTGACCTTGATAGATGTCTTCCCCTTTCTGGCCTGTTCCCCCTCTGGCACGTGGATGGAATGGGACTACTTGACCGTTAAGGACTTCCCCTAATAGGTGATGTTTCCTTCCTTTCCTTCTTCCCTCGGGCTGGTAGGTACTTGTCCCTGGGGGGAGGGGCTGCAGTGGGGGTGGTGGTGGTGCCATCCCTCTGTTCACAACCAGACAAGGTCAGCCATAGTGGAAGGTGAGTCGTTTCCTGTAGGTCACCCAGGTCTTCTTTTCTGGAATAAGATGAGGATTGAGGGCTGGGCAGGGTGGGCATCTTCCTTCTCCAACGAGGCCCGTGGTCGACTCTGAGCTGGGTTCTCAAGTTCAGGCTTCACTTCCTGTTCCCTTTTCCAAGGGCTGAGGTACTTTCTATTCTCCATTTTACTCCTCAATCCCTTTCCTCCACTCCCTCCAAGTCCACGGACAAACCATGGTAGGACCTTGGGAGGGAGTGTATTTAATACTGAAAAACCTGTCTGGGAGTCACGGGAAAGAAAAGTGATTGTAAATATGAAATATTAACAGGGAAAACAGGGCCCAGAATGAAGTCACACACTGCCCCCCGCCAAGTAAATACTGTAAACATCACCTCTAGGAGACAGTGTGGGTTGAGTGGTGAGTTTGAATTCTGACTGTGAGAACTTAAAGTTGGTTAATTTTTTTGAGTATAGATTATCATCTGAAAAATGGTATGAGTAATAGAAAATGGTGACATACAGAAAAAATGTGAGGTTTAAAATATATTTTATATGTTGCCCAGCCAGCATGGTTCAGTGGGTGCGTGTCAACCTATGAACCAGGAGGTCATGGTCGGATTCCAGGTCAGGTTGGATACCCAGGTTGCGGGTTCAATTCCCCAGTGTGGGGCGTGCAGGAGGCAGCCCATCAATGATTCTCATCATTGATGTTTCTATCTCTCTCCCTCTCCCTTCTCTGAAATCAATAAAAATATATTTAAAAAATATTATCCATATATAATCCCAAACACTGACTTATTCAATTATTAGTTTTCATTTTGACTACCCCTCCCTTCTCTTCCACCAGGTTCTTCTCCCACCTCTCCCGTCCTCTCCCTCCGCCCCGCCTTCCCTTTGCGCAGGCGCCCTGCGAGGCGCTGAGTCAGGCTG